GACGCGCGATTAACGACAGTGGAATTTTAAGATATGAGAATTTCCTTGACAGTATGAAAGTTATCAAATACTGGCAATTAGATAATGTTTGTTATAATTCGCGTACGCAGAAAAATTTGCGAAATATTCGTAAAAAGACTGTTAAGATCAAATATAATATGTAATATTTAATTTGTAAAGTACTATGATTATGCATATAACAATTTATTTCCGTTTTGAAATTTAGATGAGTTACAATGACGTTACCGTTCGTGCGTAACAATGACATTTGTATAATTATATCATTTCATATCAACATACAATACATCGCATTACGTGCGAGAGAAGTTCAAACAACCTCGAGGTCGAATGGACTTTTCGCTTTAATAATATGCAACAGAATAATTTCATAATCTTAAGTCGTACATAATGTATTAATTTCATAAAGCTGTGTCAGCGTAATGTCAATAATGCCAATGTCATGTCTGATGTCAATTCAAATTACTACTTAATACTTCAACAAGTTCTTTTTTTCATAGAATTTTGTTGCTTTTTATTTACGCATATAAAATGCGACGATTTCATTGACATTTTACTCGATTCCGTTACTTATACAAATATATTGCTGAACTTGATTTCGACATAAATAATCGAATCATGTTATTCATTAGTTTTATTAGTTATTATATTAGTCTATTAATTATGCTATATTTCTAAATATAGAGATGGATTGTCTGTTTTATGTTTTATCTATCGAATATATATATACAAGATTATATATAAACATTTTTAGATTTTTATTTATTTTTTTGAAAAATTACTTCTCTTTAGATTATTCTTTACTCTAATCAGATTTTTTCCTATTATATTATTATTCTATTGTATTTTAACTATTATTTAGATTTTTGTGTATATCACGAGTCGGCAACAGTACATACAATGTATGTAAGTTATAAAATATAGTTTTTAATTAATAATATAGTTTTTAATTAATAAATAATTGAAAACAGCTTTTATGTTTTCAATGCAACAATCAATGTTCTTTTCAGAGCTATTAACGATCAGTCACTTGAGTTACGAGCTATCTGCGCCAGTCAGTAGCTTTGCTCGATAATGTACGATTGTAAATCATTGTAATAAGATTCGCATGATAGATTGCTAGTTTTGCTACATTGTTAGTCCCGTTAATTTTTAGGATTTCTGGTTCATCGTTGCAGTTACATTAAATTAGAAATTTGCAAACGAGAAGTTTATCCACTCACGTCTGATAATATAGTTTAGTTAAATAAATAAAGACTTTCTCACTTCAGTTTGTTGATTAATATGTAATTGTAAATATGATGGTTTGAACATTGAATTCTTATTACACCTGTTTATTACTGCAGGATAATAAAGAAGATAGTTGTTGGTATATTTTATCCTACGAAAAAAAAATGATTTGTTTTTATGTACATTGCAAGAAAAAAGGTTTACACGATTTCTCATCTCTAACGTAATAATTCAATATGAAAGTGTACTGCAGTGAGAAAACGAGAGTCTTAAATGATTGCTTTTCATAATGCGGTTACATCATGTAACTCATAAAATCTCAGAATTACAATTCGACAAATGTGATTTCTTTTCCGCACAGCTTACGTTCGCACAGCTCTAAAAAGTTGTAGCGGCAATCGATGAATTTTTTTAAAATCAATAGGAAAATAATATTGCAAGAACGTTACTTATATAAGGATTGTGCATATAGTGCATATAGTGCATATAGTCTATACAAAGCGTCAAATGTAGAGTTTTCGGATGTGTACATTTTTTCTTCTGTATTTTTCGATTTGCACACACTTGATTAGCCGCAAGATCAATTGCGCTATAGCAATCTTAACGTAACGTTCTATTTAATAATGGCCTAACGGTAGACATCAAATCGATTAGCGCATCTAATGTTTATGCATTACGTAAATGTCATGCAACATTGATCGCCGCTTCCTGAAAATAATTACACGGTCATCCAGCCGTCGATACTTACGACGTTGTTATTTTTCTTAGATCGCAAAAGTCGCTTGCAAAATTAAAGTTAAGAAAGCGAAGTGTTGCGCTAAATACTATCGGTGCAACATTATTCCGGATGCAATGTTACCGTCATATATCATTACCTTAAAAGCGCAGAGTGGTAACACATGTGTTGGATATATGAAGTGCATACCTCATAAAACTGGTTGTTAAGAAACTAATTCGCAAAGTTCTCCAAATTTTTAACATTTAAAAAAATTAATTTTTAAGATTGAAAAATGTGAGAGTTTTTAAAAATAGAATGAAAGATTAAAGAAATAAAAGATTTTATTTATGTCCACTTTAAATATAAAAAAAAACGATTGCTTTTTTTGCGGGACATAATTCAATTCTAATGAAAGAATGACAGTGTCGAGACATTGAAACTTCTTTACATAATATATCGATCACAAACCTCTATCATGATTAATACTTACGCTATCTCCATATAATGGCTCTTAAAATTCAATTAAACATTTCTTGTTTGATGTTTCGTTTCCGATAAAATCACATTTGCCTTGTGTTCACCTTCTGATTTACATTTTTTGCATCTTTTTAGTCGACTTATTTTTGAACTTATCCTTGATCATTGACGAAATAACATTCGATTTTGCGTATCAATTTTTTTAGAAATTTTTTTTTTAATGTAATTCCAAGATCGCGATCTTTGGACTTGACTTGAGGATATTTCCAGGTAGGAAATATGAATAGGTTTCCAAAAGCGTAGGTCCGATTCTTGTCTATTTTGCATGTTCGATTCGATTATTAAATTACGGGCAAAATAAAATTTGTTGTTAAAGCCAAATTTTTGGTCGGTATATTTTGTCAAAGACTTTTGCTCAGTGTCAGTGAACCTAATTGACCTTCGGCGGGATATCCGGCGCTTCCTTGGAAAGTCCAACCTCGAAATAGCATCTTCGCGGTGAGCAATGTTTCAGAAATAAACGTCTACTTACGATTTTATGGCCGCACTTACGTTATTGTACGTTCGTTGGGATAACCATGCAAGGCTACTTCTAGAATCGATAGTTAGCGAGTTAATTTATATACTTCGGATGTTAAATTTCTTGTTCCGTTCACTGTCAAACAATTAAATTAATCTCTCAGGCATATCTTGAAGCTTCGGTATTTACAATTAGGTATTGCTGAAATCATCGTGTTTGGATGGCGGAATGCCATTTTATAATTAAACAATTAAAATTAAATGATTAATTAAATTTGCAGACGAATTTAATTGACTTACTTATTTAGAACATAATTAAAAACTGATATAATTAAAAATTGACTTATTTATTCAGAACATAATTAAAATCAGGTATTTATTTAAATTCGATTACAATTTATTTTTTTGAATTTATGTTATTCTTTCTGAGATAAATTGTAATTTTTTTATGTATTAATTTATAATATCTTTTAAAAACGCTCTATTTGGGTCTTTGGATTTTTTATAGCCTTTTCATTTTCGATTATTTTTAAGAAACAAAATTATTAAGAGCGCAAAGAGCCAAAATGTCAGATTTTAGTGCGATATATATATATATATATATATATATATATATATATATATAGTATAAAATTAAATCACATTAGAATGTATACAAATGTTTTTGACTTGACATCAGGTTTTTTTTAGTGTATAATAATAAATAATTAATAAATGTTGCACGCAATTATTTAACAAATAAATTAAAGTAAGACATATCATGCAATGCATAAATTATTGGAAGATCAGCGGATAAAGATGAAAAAATTTTGTTATTGTAATAAATTCATGTAAATAAATGTTACTAACATTTTAACTTTTGAACAAGATGTTTCATTTATTTCTGACTCTTCCATCTTATTTTTTTTGCGTCTGTATGAATACGGATGACATAAATTTATTACAATAAAAGAATTTTTTCTGCAAAGATCCTACAATAATTTATGCTTTGCATAATGTCTTACTTTAATTTATTTGTTAAATAATTGCGTGCAACATTTATTTATTATTTATTATTGTACACTGTAGAAGGCCTGATGTCATAACGTCGTAACGTTTGTATATATTGTAATATGATTATATGATTTATCGTACTAAAATTTGGTATTTTGGCATTTTGCGCTCCTGATAATTTTATGTGATTGTTTTAATCATTTGAGCCTTTTTATATATTTTATTTTTAAGAAATATTTTTTATCGTACCTCAGTTAAATTTATTAGTTAAGTGTAATAATTTTAAATTACAATTTTGTAATAAATATGAAATAAAGACAGGATGCCGTTATAAGATATGACAAGGATTTTGTAAAAGATTATAATTATAATTATGATAATAATATGTAAATAATAAGAATCGCAGAAAACGAGCTCTATCTGCCGAACGTACGCATATTCATCACAATTATTTTCATCATAAGACATCTTTTCAAAACGTGTATTTTTAAATGATTGAGTGATCTATTACTATAGTTGATAGTCAGTCGGTGATTCAGTGGAAAATGCAAATTTTGAATATCAACAAAATTGGAAAAAAATTAAAACTTTAAAATTCGTCGGAAATACCTGTATAAGTCCGTTTATGCGAAATACTCGACTTGCGGACGAGAGACTAAATTTCAAGGAAGCGTGTCAAAGTGCAGGCGAATGATTTGCATACAGTGAAGTGCAATTAACGCGACGTGATGTAATCTGCGATCCTTCGCCAATTTTCGGCAAACTATCTTATCGCGTTAGGCATCATCGTCACTAACGTCACGAGACTTAGAGAACGCTCAGCGACGGCACGTCAGAAACGTGTGCAGATGAACTACGATCTCGGCGTCGCGCGTGGTATATACGACGATGAGATCTGGAGGACATGAGACAGACAGAATGACAGAGCTTGAGAGAGGGAGGAGGAAAGAGGGAAGGAGAGAGAGGCAGAGAATGATAGAAGGAGATGGTAGAAGGGACGGTGGGTACCAATATGGCGAATCGGTTAAAAGCAATGCACCGGCGTTACGTCCGTCAGTCCGCGAGTTGGCACGGCGACAGTGTGTTCGACGTTTCGATATCGGCACTGTCGATAACGCTCGGTATTTTCTTTTTTTCTTCTCTCCCTTCTCCTTTTTTTTTTTAATTATTTTCTCTCACTACTTCAACGTTCGGTTCGTCAAAGCGCGCGTTCCAGGAAGCCGAGCAGATCTTCGTTAACTTTTTTTCACGGATCACGCGTCGAAATCGATATCGTGCCGATCGTGCTTTCGACTCCCTTCGTTTTTCCTGGTCCCGTGGACATCTGAAAGCTGAGCGGTCAAGAACGCTGGGCGGTCAGAGAAAGAAGGAAGGCTACTTTCGCTTTCGTTGAAGTGTTACGCAGATTGTGGTGTGTGTTGCGATATTTCGACAAACGTTGATCAATCGGTGCGCACTCGCGCGATCTTCCAATACTTAGTAAGTATAGTGAGATTTTTATACGGTTTTGTCAACGCTAAATAATAATATTAATAATTTAAATATTCACGATAGTATTTAATAAAATAATAATAATGATTAAAAATTAATGATTGAAGGACGATGATTAATGTGAAACATTTATCGCACATTTATAGCACAATAACTATATAATATATTCATTTAATTATTTTTCGCGAAACTAGTTTATGATGCATAGAGATTCTTTATTTATTGATCGATCTGCGTTCATCAAATCTATCTTCTTTTTTCAATTAAAAAAGAAAATTACATGGACGCTATCTGATAAATAATTTATCCGTCGTTGATGAAACCGGACATTAAATCAATACAATTTCAGAGTGCTCCATTTTTGATACTACAGGCATCGAAAAACACATCACATAGATCGATCTTTGTCTACGGCATTGAAAGTCGAACCCGACGTCGAGAAATTACACCGATTTCGATCTTGGGGCATCGGCGGTTAATAAGTGATTCCAAGTTAGAGTTCAGCGTGGTCGTTTCATGTGGTCGTAAATTAAATTGAAACATTGACGAGCTTGCCTGCCGCGAGAGCCAGTTAGAGAGCCAATGCTTGATTGTTCATGATTGAACGTTTTAATTATTTCCGATCGTCCGTCGATCGATCTCTCGCATCAGTGCTCGACCTACCCGATTACATACGAAATATTGCTTCCTGTCCGTCTGCGTACCTTCTTCTTTGCAGAATGCCTTCCCTTGTGAATCACCTCGAGCGCTCAATTCGAGTTCGATTCACGTTCGCAACTGTGGGAGCGCTTAATGAACGTATTTACAGTCATTAGGCCATCCTTATATGTGTGTTCGAAGGAAGCCTCAGAGTCAACGTTTCACGATGCGAGCGGCGTTGCACCGCGCGTTCTTCTGCGCTCATTTCACTGCACGATTAGCGAGACGGATGATTGCTCACATACGTTGCGTCAACAAGTCGGCTCGATAACTCGCCACGAGGGATCTCCCACGATCGTTACGATACTTCCCGTAATAGTTACGATAATCCGACTCCGCGACCGTACTTTACAGTCAAAGATGGAGAAAGTGGGCGATACTTTTGAGTTTTGACTCTTAACACACACTTTACTACAATAAATTCAAGTTTCGAAAAAGCTTCTAATATTTCCTTAGGTCGTTTATCAATTAATTTGTATTTTTCTCTCAATTTGAAATTACACTTAAATTCTTTTCTTTTTGAAAATTTTTATCAAAGAGCTAATTTTTATTTTTATTAAATTTTTTTTCTTATACTTTGTAAAAAAATTGTGCAACTCGAATTTCTCTTGTAAAAAATTTTGTTTACAACTGTAGGAATATGGAGTTGTATTGGTTTTGACTATAAATTTGTAGATAGCATGTTTGCGATAAAGAAATAGATAAATTGTAGCACGTGTCTGATGTTGAAAGAAGATATTTTCTTACACTACTCACAATCAGCACTCGATTTTTTCTCGGTTTTAATTTACCCTCTTTTTTTCTTGCTCTTTTTTCCCTCTCTCATTCACTTTCTCGATGTAAGACGTACATTTTACCTCTTAGGAAAGATCTTGCTCGAAAGGTTTTGCTCGAATTATGTGATCGTGCCTCTCATTTTCGGATCTAAATGAGCCGGCCACTCCGGGATGAAAGATAATTAAGTATCAAAGTTGCGTCGTCTCGCGCATGTGTGTCCGTACTATTTTATATTATATAAGACAACAATACAATGGCGTGCTGTGATTAATTGTTAACGTTACGTGACACGTAACCCGCGACGTATCATTATCGAGAGTGGAATACCTCGAGACTGGATTCCAACAATGGTTTAGTTTACACCGATCGTTTTAGTACGTGTACTAAATACTATATTCGTACTAAATCTGCTTCGTCCGCTTGGTGTAAATCGTTTACACCAATCAAATTAAGCGGATTTAGTACTTGGTACGCTCGGTGTAAACTAAGCCATTGTTTCTCGCTAGTAATATCGTTATATCATTCGTAATAAAAGTTCCATGCACGATGTTGTATCTCTCTTGCTAGAAAGTTTGCGAAATTTTTTTTTTTTTCTAGCGCTATCAATTTTTTATTTACACAAACAAAACTTGTAAGCCAAATACTTTACGGAAAGTTTCTTTACGCCAAAAAATTCACCGCTATTTATGGACGCGTCGTTGCTTTTAGTCAATAGAAAATATTGGAACACGCGACGTAAATGCTAATTTATGTTTCTCGATAAGCACAACATATGTCGGAATTTAGTTCAAACGTAATAACATGTGATCGCTGTTCATATTGTCGCCGTATTTACTTGTCAAATAACACGAAAGGGAGTATAGCCCATAGTGGCATATCGTAAATATAACTTGGGTTGACAGTGTTTTCTTGATAATTAAAAATTTGTGATTACTCGATTGAATCCTTGAAGATATTGACAAATTATATCCTGCAAAATTTATTATTATAAACATAGACGCAGCATTGAAAGAGACACGCAAAGGACGATATCTGTGTGCAATCAGATCGCGCTTTATTGCTGTATCAATACCACTGTAACTCGTTAACAGTACGATATCGACGTCGAACTTGAAATAGTTTAAATAATATAGTTTGAAGAAATGCATTTTTTACTTCGATACGATATTGTTTTAGACTATTTTTCCTACATCAATCAAATTTTTGAAAAAATTTTTTAGAAATTGGAATTTTTAGAATAATTTATGCGACATTTATGACATTATGATTAACAAAATTAGTATTTTATTTGCATGCATATTATATGTATGTATTGTATATACGTTACTTTTTATGCCACATGTGTACATTAAATTCTGACGAGATTGCATTGTTTTGTCCATTTGATTTAATCGTGACTCATCGTTATTTCGAAAGCCGACACAATCATTTTTCTAATAAAACGCACTTAATTTAACACGTTTCTTTGATTTTTATTTTAATAAAGTATTTTATTTTATTTTTTTTCTTATATTTCTCGTTTAGTTAAGCGTGGAAAGTAGGTGTCAGATGCTTTATAATTTAATATACCGTATATCAAGGAAAATATTTGCAAACTACTGAACTATGTATGCACATAGTAGAATACGAACGTGGCGCTCGAGCAGCGAGTTTACAAGGAGAGCATTATTTTTGCCTCTTTCTTTCGTAGACACATTGATAAATTGCAAATACATCGAAAACGAAGGCTATGAATGTGTCTACAAAAGTAAGAAAGCGGTGCTGTCCTTTTCGTGAGCTTAGGAAATAACCTTGCAAACACGCCGCGGATATCTTTAATGCATTGAATGTAAATTTGTACATGTCATTTATTTTTTTTCATTTTCCTTAAACGTGAGATAGTTTTACATGCTTTTGTACGGAAAGATATAAGACGCATTCCAGCATTCTATAATTCAATGTTCAAAGACGTATAAATAATTCAATGGCACAATCGATGAAGGAAAAAATATACATGTTGGATTGAATGCATATTCGTGCGAGCGTACAATTAAGTACATTAAAGATGTTCGAGATATGCCTATATTCTGCAAATTTTTTTATAATACTTAAGGCGTTTATATTGCTTATGCAGATCACGGATGCGCTTCGTACGTGCCGTAAAAAATAAAAATAAATCGCAAAGTAGCCTTTGAACGCGCCGGATGTCATTAATGCACCGAATGTAAATTTATATGTAATTTTTATTCTCATGATTTCCGCAATCGTGAAATAAAATTTTGCATATGCCTTTCCAAGGCCTTTCATTTGCAAGTAGTGTTATATTCATAATTTTTTGTTCTAATTTTTACGTAAGTAATAATTCAAGACTCGCAATTACAGTAACATTTAGTATTATGATTAATTCTGATACAACTAGATATTTACATGATGTTTTGTGCGAGATAATGTTGCATATAATTACGCGATATTTGTATATCCACATCATTGTATTACATAATTATTTATTTAATTATTTATATAGTATTGTAATTAATTTTCATGTATTTATGTATTTTGGATTTATTTATTTATGAAGACATTTCTCAAAAGTGTCGGAGAACTGTTCATTCTAATTAGAGATTAGGTTGATTGACTGATATAATAAATTAAGCTCAGACAGGCTCTTTGCATATCATCTTTCAATAATAATACATCTTTCATATAGCTAAATCGTGTATTAAATTTAATCGATAATGATGATTGATCTAACTGATTGATCTACCTTATCAAAAGCAATAATAAATTAATATATTTCGCTTTTACAGAAGTCATAAGAATAAAAATTATATATTAATTTACATTCGGTGCATTAATGACAGGCGCGTTCAAAAGCTACTTCGTGACATGCGATTTATTTTCATTTTTTGCGGCACGTACGAAGGGCATCCGTGATCTGTATAAGCAATAATAAATTAATATTAATTATTATTATTTAGATTAAGAATTTATTAATAATTTATAATTAAGCCGTTTATTTTGAAAGTGGTATAGGTTCATTTTTTCTTGTCCACAAAATATTAAAAAATTTGCATTTCTGTTTATTTAAAAATACCATATTATCGATTTTTTTCGAAATTGGACTTACATCACTTTCAAAATTATACGGATTAAATCAATATTAATATATTCTTTCGATTATTTTTTTGTTGTACTTTGAATATCGGAATATTCTGCACAAATTATCAGTATGATTTCTATGTATTTCCATTTGCATTTTTGCTTGTATTTTTCTGTTACAAGTTTAAGTTCAGAATATTAATTTGTTTTACAGAGAGATTAATGTAGAGAAGTTGATTTTTATTTTAGTCTACAATTATTAAATTATGCACGCAATTATACTAAATGTAATCAAATGTTCTATTGATGTCAGATATGTCGATATTCACAAGAATACTTTGCAACCCTTTGATATTTTTATTACTTACGAACATAAAGCAATAGTACCATACAATTGATCATGTAAAAAGGAAACGGTATATTTATTAAATATT